GGTACAAATATGGACCTCTTCCAATCTTTTGGCAAGACAACTGTCTTCCAAAATTGCTGGCACATACTTTGTACAGCACTTATCTGTCAGTTTGCTGTACTGTGATAACTTGTATGTTACTGTGACACTGAAACATATGCCTCTATTGTGTCAAATGCCACAAGTGTTACCCATGGTAGACAGGTTTTAGTAGAGTTTCCAGATTAAGACAGACTAGCAAGCAGGATAGGTCATCCAATTCTTATATACGAGGCCTCTGAAAATCCTATGAATAGTAAAGGAACAAAGATAGTTACAGCAGTAGCAATAGAGCCAGAGTCAATAGAAATGAGGAAAAATAATGAAAACCATCATTTCATAATTGAATGTTGGAAAATAGAAATTTTGGAAAAATTAAATAGAATTCATTAATATCAACATACTAGGCATTAGTGAGAGGAGATGGACTAGCTTTGGCCATTTTGAGTCAGATAACTGAATGGTATACTATGCTGGGAATGAAAAACAGAAGAATTGTGCTGAATTCATAGTCAATGAGTCAATTTCATGTTCTATCCTGAAGTAAAATGTTGTGAGTGATAGAATATTATCCATACACATGCAAAGACAAGTACTCAAGTATACACTCTTACATCTAGAGCCAAAGAGGAAGAAATTGATAATTTTTACCAACTCTTGAAGTCTAAAATTGACAGAACATGTAATCAAAATGCATTAATGATAGTTGGTGACTGGGATACAAAAGTTGGAAGCAGTGAATAAAGAATAGTAGTTGGAAAATACATGCTTGGTGGCAGAAATGAAGCTGGAAATAGAATGTTGAGTTTTGTATTTTCAATAATTAATTTATTGCAAATACCTTTTTTTAAAGACACAAATGGTGACTTTAGACATGGATCACACTTGATGGACTGCATAGGAATTGGATTGACTACATCTGTGGAAGGAATCATTGAAGAAGCTCAATATTGACAGCCAAAACTAGGCCAAGGGCAGGCTGTGTGTCAGATCACAAATTACTCCTGTGCAAGTTCAAATTGAGGTTGAAGAAAATGAAAATAAGTCTACAAGAACAAAGGTATGATCTTGAATCTATTCCTTCTAAATTTTAAGGTTATCTTAACAATAGATTTGAAGCACTGAACACCAATGATTAAAGACCAGATGAGTTATGAGATGATATCAAGGATATTATCCATGAAGAAAGCAAAATGTCATTACAAAGACAGAAGAGATGAACCAATGAATGAATTTTTTTTTAAAGAAAGCAAACAGGGGAGGGGTAGAGAAAATGAATGAATGAATGAAAATCCAACTTTTCTGTAAATTTCTGTTAAAATCACAATGAAAACCAAACCAACAAAAAAGGCAGAGGAGAAAGAAAAAACGGAAATGGATGTCAAAAAAAGTCTTTAAAATTGCACTAGAGCATTGTGAAGTCAAAGCAAAGGGAAAACATGCCTAAATAAAAGAACAGAACAGAAGATTTCAAAAGGTAGCTTGAAACAACAAAGTATTATAATGGAATGTGCTGAGAGCTGAAATTGGAGAATAAAAAGGCAAGAACTCATCTGCATTTCTCAAGCTTACAGAACTGAAAACCAAATTTAAGCCTTGAGTTGCATTACTAAAAGAAGCTATGGGCAATATATTACATGACCCAGAAAGCATCAAAGATGATTGAGGGTATATTCAGAGTTACTATACCAAAAAGATATGACTGACACTATAATATTTCAGGAAGTACCATATGAGCAGGACCCAGCGGTGCAGAAGAAGGAAGCTGAAGCTTCATGAAGGTATTGGCAAACAATAAGACCTCAAGAATCAATGGAATACCAAATGACTTGTTTCAATTAACAGATGCAACCCTGAATGCGTTCACCAGTCTAAGCTAGAAAATTTGGAAGACAGTCCATGCCAGCATCTGAGAGTTGGACAGTGAATAAAGATTACAGAAGAGGAATTGATGCCCTTTAGTTGTGGTGCTGGAGAAGAGTACTGAATATCCCGTTGACTGGCAATAAAACTAACAGGTATGTCTTGGAGAAGGTGATTCCTTATCCAGTGTTCCTTAGAGGCATATACTTTGAGCATGTTTCTAGGAGAGCCTATTCCTTGGAGAAAGACACCATGCATGGAAAGGTGGAGGAACAGTCAAAAAGAAGAACCTCAAACAGATGGATTGACACAGTGACGACAGTAATGGGTTCAAGTGTGTCACAGCCTGTGAAGACGACACAGCATAGGACAGGGTGTCAGATCTGCTGTTCATGGGGTTGCTGTGAGTCATACTTGACTGGATGGCACCTAACAACAACAGTAACTAGGTGATTTCCATACATGATACCGTTTAAAAATCACTGACCATTTCTCCAACAGGGTAAAAAGGAAGCTCATAGACTGGGAAAAAATATTTGGTAAAGATATATCTGTTAAGAGATTCATATCCAAAATCTATATAACAATCCAGCATCTCAACAAGAAGAAAGCAATCAACCCAATTGTAAAATGGGTAGAAAATATAAACTCTTCACCAAAGAGGATTTTCCTATGACCAACAACCACATGAAGAAATGCTTGAGATTTCTAGCTATTTTTGTTGTTGTTGTTGTTGTTGTTGTTAAGTGCCATTGAGTCAGGTATGACTCATAGTGACCCTATGAACAAAAGATCTAAAGCTTGTTCTAAAACTATCATTGTTTCTGTAATGTCCATAAGATTTCCAAAGGCTTGTTATTTAAGAAGAGGATGCCAAACCTGCTTCCAAGTCTTTTTTAATTTGGGAGATCTGGCAACCCTGTACACCATGGGTAACCATTATGGCATTTAACACACCAGTGGCACAGCGTACAGTATCACAGTAACCCCAGGTTATCTCAGTACGGCACACTTACAGACAAGTGCTGAATTTGAGATGCAAATAAAAACAACAATGAGATTTGGCCTCATATCAAAAACAATGACAAAGTTCAACAGTAGAACAAATCTTCTGTTGAAGATTCAGAGAGATTGAAACCCTCATGCATTGCTGGTGGAAGTGTAAAATCATACAACCACCATGAAAGTAGTCTGGCACGTCCTCAGAAGAGTGAAAATAAAAATATCATTTGACTCAACTATCCTACTTCTAGGAATCTACTCCCAAAGAAAAGAGAGATAAAACACAAATAGATGTGTGCACACCCATGTTTAGAGCAGCATTATTCACAATAACAAAGAGATGGAAGCATCCTAAGTGTCTATAAATAAGCAAATACTATGGTATTTTCACACACTGGAGTATTATGCAGCATACCAAAAGCATTGAAGACCTCAAGAAACACTATGCAGCATAGATGAGTCTAGAGAACTTTATACTGAGTGAATTAACTCAGTCATAAAGGGACAAATAGAAACATTGTTGCAGAATTAAGAAGATTATGGGGCACTAGGGGCGGGGGAAAGTAAGGATAATACAAAAAGAATTGATAGATAAAAACATGATATTGGAATAGAAGAAATAGATGAAGGGAAGGTAATTCTGAAAAGAATAGGAGATAAGACATTATATATACACACACACACACATTATATACAAGACATTGTATAGAAGACATATATATGACATTATATACATAAGACATATATGCACACACATGTATATATATACACATATATACACACACATGTATATATACACACGTATATATACACACGTATATATACACACATATATATATACTATATATATATCTGCAACTGCAGCACAGTTACGTGCCACTAGGCCACCAGAGCTCCCTAAGACATTATATATATATTGTAAAAGACATTACAAATAATGTAACTAACAAGCTGAGACAGGACCTGCAAAGGGAATGAAGGAGGATGGAATGGCAGATAATCTGTATAAATGAATGTATGCAAAGCCACTCAAATCACAATAGAAACATGTTTTTTTTAAACTCACTGAGCTAGGGAATTACATAGTTATTTCTAGGGTGCATGTGTGGAAATTCTGATTTCAATTATCTGGATTTGAGCTCAGAAATCAGTGATTGTTTTGTCAATTAAATTTGTTATGCTGGGAAACATTTGACTGAGGACAGAATTCTAAATTCTAAACTCTTTGAGTTTGCTTTTAATGAATTCTAGTTCTAGCAGTGCTCTGTAAACAAGCTCTACTCCATCAGATTATTTAGTGAGTTTTCATTGATCATTTACTATGAATCAGGCACTATGTTGGACATCATCTGAAAGTCTTGCCCCAACAGCTTTCTTACCTACAAGCCCGGCTTAGATGTCAGCAACTCTCATCATGTGAAGAGCTTGTTTCTGTCTCAACAAGCTTCTTTATCTCCCAAGTGGATGTTTCAGTAACATTTGATCAGTACAGTTAATAGTGCAAAAGACCAAAATCTTTGCTCCAGAACAAACAAGCACATTAGTTCTTAAAAAATAAAATAGCTTGATTTTCTTGCCAATAGTAAACAACTGTAGCACTGAACTCAATAATTAACACAATGAAATTTAACTCTTAACATTCTAATCTGTTTCCAACTAAGTTAATGTTCACTTCTTATTTATTTATCATGTATGCATTTAGTTTTTTGGGGAAAGTCCACTACCATGGACCTCTCCAGAGGGCTAAGAAGCAATGATGTCAGTCTAGAGACTAAGATTAACATGATCCAAACCACAGTCTTCAATTACTTGCTATGCATCGGAGAACTGGACAATGACTAAGGATGATAGAAAAGTTGATGCCTTTGAGTTGTGGTTCTGGAAAAGAGTTCTGAATATACCATGTACTATCAAGAGAATAAACAGGTCTATCCTGGAGAGGGTGAAATCAAGTTGCTCCTCAGAGGCTAGGACTTTGAAAGCTCCCTCTTACATACTTTGGGCACATAGCCAGGAGAGGCCAGTCCTTAGAGAAGGAAATCATGCTCAAAAGGGTGAAGGGTCAGAGCAGGAGAGTAAGACCCTGAAGGAACTACATTGACACACTGATAGTGGCAATGGAGGTAGGTGTGTCAGAGATAGTGAGATTGGCTCAAAATAGGGCAGGGTGCAATGTGATGTATGGGACAGTGAAGGAAATTGAAAGAATTTGTTATTGAAAACATTGTATTTGAATTTTGCAAATAAACTAGTTCTTCTTGTTGTTGCTGTTTGCCTAAAGCACTTATAGACCCTATAAACAAAAGGCTTAACACCCTTCTACAACAATCCACATTTATCAAAGTTCACAGAGTTTCAGGACCCATGTTATTTAGGAAGTGGCTGCCACTCAAGAAAAAAAAAATAGGGCAGGGTTCAGAGCTACTGTTCAAAGTGTCACAACTTGTCCTAGTGGACTTGGCAACACATAACAAAATAAAAACCTATTTAGTATTTATTTACATGTATATATAAATTTTTATATATACCTCGTGTGTGTGTGTGTGTGTGTAGTTGTTGTTATGTACCATCGAGTTGCCTGCAACTCATAGCCACCCTGTGTACTACAGCCCTAAACTCTGTTCTATCCTGTGCCAATCTCACTGTCTACCCTAATTACCCCAGTCACTGAATTAATCCACCTCCTTGAGGGTTTTCCTCTCTTGCACTGTTCCTTCACCCTCCCAAGCATGACATCCCTCTCCAAGGACTGATGCTCCTCACAACATGTCCAAAGTATGTCAGATGAAGCTTGCCTATAAGGAGCAGCCTGGTTTAATCCTCTCTAGGATGAACCTCAAACGA